TTCTTAAGGAGCGGGTCTGGACCACAGTACATTATTACATTGAAGTATTTTTGAACTATAGATGTCTGTGTAAGAGTGATATGTGGACAAAATGTCTGGCACTTGGACAAAGTCTCAGTATTGTAACCGTATATTTTAGGATCTTGTCAGCAATGAGACAATTGAGGAGAATTTAACAAAGGGACTATTGACAAAGGTATGGCCCAGTTAAGAGAGACCTTCATGGAAGAATGCAGCACCAGATGTTAGCAAGAGAAGTATCACCAAGACTCCTAGACCTTAAGGAGCAAAGGAAGGTGGCAGTTATTTGACACCAGGTAGAATTTTACTTCAATGATATCTGTAAATAATAACCTGAGTGGCCAAATACAGGAATAAAGTCTTTGGAGGAGTCTTTGTGGGAGTAATTCATACAACCTCCTAGGCTAATGTATGTTGGTGGAACCTAACAAAAAGCCAGAGAGTAAGGGAGTTAGTTGAGACAATCTCTTATGGCCACCCTTCCATGCCAACACTAGGTGGACAGCACTGGGCAGTGAACTTGTAGGAGCAGTTGGAGAATATTCTGTATTCTAACCATTATCCACATAAGCATTAAAAATTCTGGTTGGGGAAGCTTAACAGTGTGGTTGGGTGACTATTGTGTACCAGGAACTTTGCCTGAATTATCTCATAGCATCTTGGAATATCCACAGTGAGAAGCTGATTATTATCTCTGAGAGGATATAGAGTTCTGGTGAGTTCAGTAATTTATTCATGGTTGCAAAGTTAGTAAGCTTAAGACTAAGATAAAAAATACAGGCCGGGTGCGGTGGCTCACGCCTGTAATCCCAGCACTTTGGGAGGCCTAGGCGGGCGGATCATGAGGTCAAGAGATCGAGACCATCCTGGCCAACATGGTGAAACCCCATCTCTACTAAAAAATACAAAAAAAAAAAAAGCAGGACATGGTGGCACCTGCCTGTGATCCCAGCTACTCGGGAGGCTGAGGCGGAAGAGTCGCTTGAACCCAAGAGGTGGAGGATGCAGTGAGCCGAGACTGCACCACTGCACTCTAGCTTGGCAATAGAGACTACGTCTCAAAACAAAACAAAACAAAACAAACAAACAAAAAAAAAACAAACTTGCTTGACTTCAATTATGAGGGGAGCATTTATGAGCGGAATCAAACTTGAAAATACATGGTTGACCCTTGAACAACACAGGTTTAAACTGTGAGGGTCCACTTACATGCATATTTTTTTCATCATGTATTTTGGAAATATTTCTGAGATTTTCAGTAATTTACAAAAATTGACAAATGAACCATGTAGCCTAAAATATAAAAAAAAATGAGAAAAATGAAGGTCATGAATGCATAAAAGGTATGTCAATGCTATTGTTACAGGAAAAGAGCCCCAATCTAGACTCCAAGAGAGGGTTCTTGGATCTCACGCAAGAAAGAATTCAGGGTGGATCTGTGTAATAAAGTGAAAGCAAGTTGATTAAGAAAGTAAAGGAATAAAAGAATGGCTATTCTATAGACAGAGAAGCCCTGAGGGCTGCTGGTTGCCCATGTTTATGATTACGTCTTGATTATATGATAAACAAGGGATGGATTATTCATGCCTATCCTTTTCAGACCATGTAGAGTAACTTCCTGAGGTTGCCATGGCCTTTGTAAACTGTCATGGCATTGGTGGGAGTGTAGCAGTAAGGACAACCAGAAGTCACTCTTGTTGCTATCTTGATTTTGGTGGATTTTGGCCAGTTTCTTTACTGCAACCTGTTTTATCAGCAAGGTCTTTATGATCTGTATCTTGTGCTGGCTCCCTTGCTCATCCTCTAAGTTAGAATGCCTTAACGGTATGGGAATGCAGCTCAGAAGGCCTCAGCCTTATTTTACCTAGCTCCTATTCAAGATGGAATTGTTCTGGTTCACAAGGTCTCTGACACTATTCTATTTATATGTTAATCGACTGTTTGTTTTATCAGTAAGATTTGTGGTCAATGGTAGGTTATTAGCAGTTAAATTTTGGGGGGGAGTCAAAAGTGACATTCAGATTTTCAGCTGCACATGGGGTCAATGCCCCAAACCTCTTGTGTTGTTCGAGGGTCAGCTGTATATGTCTCTTAGGTAGTATGAAGCTGTATACCTCAATGCTGGAGGGTAAAAAGACTTTTGCAATTGATAAAGTCCCATGAAGCATTTCTTGTCCTATTTGATAAAAAGATTCTCCACTGTGATGCTTCACTTATATTCTGATATAACTTGTAGAGGCTAACCCAAAGGTGTTATTTCCAAGTGAGTAGAAAAAAATCTATTTTAATTCCAAATGCCTGAAAGACATCACAGTTTTGTTTAATTTTACATTTTCACTTTCACAATATATAAACGAAACCATGAGAATAATACATACCAATCTTTTTTGACTCGGAGAAGTTGGAGTTCTTTTATGCAAATAATCTAAGAAGTCTCATGCATAGGCTTCACGTCATCAACTTTCTTGAAAAAAATTGCTGCCTTCCTTGGAGAACTACAATATTTTGCTCTGATTATTAGAAGCTTCATGTCAAATTGCAAAGTCCAATGGATGGCCTTTGGTGATGAACTTAGAATATGGTGGTACAAGCATTCATGTAACTGTCACGGGAGGAAAACAATGTTTTAATCATTTTTTTTTTTTTTGAGACGGAGTTTCACTCTTGTTACCCAGGCTGGAGTGCAATGGCGCGATCTCGGCTCACCGCAACCTCCGCCTCCTGGGTTCAGGCAATTCTCCTGCCTCAGCCTCCTGAGTAGCTGGGATTACAGGCACGCGCCACCATGCCCAGCTTATTTTTTTGTAGTTTTAGTAGAGACGGGGTTTCACCATGTTGACCAGGATGGTCTCGATCTCTTGACCTCGTGATCCACCCGCCTCGGCCTCCCAAAGTGCTGGGATTACAGACTTGAGCCACCGTGCCCGGCCGTTTTAATCATTTTTAACTGAAAATCTGAGCCATAATGAAAATCTTCTAGGTGGTGAAAATGCATATTCATAGCAGAATAGCTATCTTGGTATCTCAACATGCTAATATAATGAGGTTTTGTTATCTTTGTTGCTGTGTTTTGCTTATCTGTTTATTTTCTTCTCAACAATGCCTCACAGTAATCTAAATCTGAATGATTGCTATATTTCTACTTTTCTTTCTGTTTTTATTTTTAAGTATATAGGTATGATCTATGAGTTATATTATGATGGGATCAAATGCTGAAACAAAGCATTACATTGAAAAATATCATCATATTATTACAAATGTTTCCAAATAAGCAAGGTTATCTAATTCAGTACTCCCTGAATGGGAAGCTCTATTATTAAAGTTGTGTCAGAGTCTAATAAACTGTCTGAGAACTCACAGTTCTTCCCAGAGCCTGCTCCCTGCATAGGTGCATTATATTTCCCTGGTCACTCTTGGGACTCAGTTGCTACTTAAATGATTCAGGGACTTGAAATCCTTCCAATGCTTGTATAGACAGATAATTTAAGTAAACCATAGGAGCCATAAAAAAAAAAAATACAACTTCAGAAGTGGCCAAGGCAATGGCTCAGCTTCAATTTGAACTGAACATGTACAGTGCCCCTTGGTTAGAAGTGAAGGGGGTACATTATCTTTAATCTGGACATTTTTTCTTTTAACTTGTCCAGAGATGTAACACACATTGATTCAATAGATATATTATGGACTAGCCAAAATATGTTTTATTGTGGACATTTAGCAATATGGGGAAGGGGCATCTTATCACATAGAGTTAAGTAAAAATTCAGGAAATAAACAAATACAATGTTATCATACTAATACATATCTCAGTCGTTTGACATGAGAAAATAAGAAATAGCTGCAACATTTATCTATATGGGAAGGCTTTACTCAGGTACAGTATATTGTACAATGAAAAATTATACAACTGTAGGAAGTAGTGAGGTGAAACTCTATGCAGTGATGAAAAAGTGTTTCAAAAACATCTCCTGTGAGAAAAAGTAAGTCTCAGAATGCTGCCTACATTATGATCATGTCTGTGTTTAAATATTTATATGCACATTTGTGTGTATGTACATATCATATCTTGCCTGGGAATTTTGCACATCAAAATGTCAGCATTACCTCTGAAAAAATATGTGGCAGTAGAGACAGAGCTAAATACTTTTGATTTTCAAAATAACTTAAGGAGTATCTAAGCAAATTTTGGATCTTTAACAAGAATATTAAATTACTAGTGAAACAAACAGAAAAACCCACATGAAACCCTGAATATATATCAGAAGAAAAAACTTTAAGATTTGAGCAGTGATTAATTTTATCGTATTTTATGTAATTTTATATTTTACTTACCTTTTCCTATATCTTTCTATATTTCTAAAATGTTTGATTCTTTTGCAAAGAGAAGAGGTATTTAAACAATTAAAATATAAACATAGTTGAACAGTAGATTAGAACTTAGACACTTGACTATATTAATTCTGATTGGTATTTTATTCATCTGAGTTAATTCTAAGAGGCATTTATTTATTTCATCTCTCTAATGTATTTGTGAATTTCAGAATAATTTATCTTTGACCTCAGAGCCTTCAAGCCATTTGTGTATTTACTCCTCTTGTAGGGGAATTGGAATCCGTGATAAATTGGAGGATTCTTTCACTTCCAGGGCTTTCTGGGATAAATGAGGCTGGGTTATGATATACTTTTTAATTCGGTAGGCAAGGGTATGCCATTCAGTTTACTTTCTACTATGTATTTTTTCGAGTTCTTTTTTATACATTATAAAATATATTTTTGCAAGTTATCTGTAAATGTCTATGTAATCTTTCTCCTTGATACATCAGGCACACACCAATCAAATGTCAGGAGAACACAGAAAATTGTCTGAGTAGGGACTTGGTGTATGCTCGCATGTTTATGTGTGTGCATGTCTGAGATTAACATTTTCGTTTTTGAATTAGCTCTCTGACTGAAAGTCATTCTTCCATTTTCCCCCTCAGCTATTATAAAAACTGCCCTTCCCAACATGGACAGAGAAGCCAAGGAGGAATACCTGGTTGTTATCCAAGCCAAAGATATGGGTGGACACTCTGGTGGCCTGTCTGGAACCACAACACTTACAGTGACTCTTACTGATGTTAATGACAATCCTCCAAAATTTGCACAGAGTAAGTTAATTTCCTGCACTGGGTGAGAATCTTGGTATGATGTTTCCATTTGAATTTATATTATAATTTTTAGTGCTATTTAAAAACCTGGCAGCAACCATTGAGTGGCTTATTAAGTGCCAGGTATGGCATGATTTTGATACTAAACTTATTCCTGTTTTACAGATTACAAAGCAGTTGATAAAATTCTAATTATCAAGCATATGGTTAGTAAGAATTAGTACCAGTACACCTGACTGCCAGCTGCGCGCTCCTTTCTCTTTTGCGCGCTATCTCTCTTTACGAAAGCTTGAGAGAATGATAAAAATGAAGCTCAGATATTGCGCTATCATTAGTCCCCTTTGTTTAATAAAGGAAATCAAATCTCTAGTGCCTGAGGTAGGGAAGACAAATATGCAGTAGGCTTGCTGCAAAACGTACACTTCTCCTTCCCACAACTGGGAGGATACCAGTTAGACTCCACTCTTCCTTGCTAAAGCCATGCTCTGCCTTGGAAATTTCAACAGCATGCATTCTGGGCGGACAATGTAAAAGAATCAGGGAGACAATCATTATTTGGTGACTTTCTCATACTCTCAGAGAACACTTTCTTCTGAGCATTTATTCAAGTAATATGACAGAGACATGATTGGTTAAGGGCCTTCTGACATGGTGACTCTTAAACTGAGATATGAAAAAGTGAATAAAGTTAACCGGAACAAGGTGAAGGCATGGGAGGGAGGATGAGTAATGAAGCTAAAAAAGATATTCAAAAGCCCTGTGTCTACATACTTATTTTCTTTTTTTAAAGATTCCACTTATAAGTAAGATCAGGCAGGACTTTTTTTCCCCTCGATCTGACTTATTTCACTTAATATAATTTCCTCTAGGTTCATTTATGTTGTTACAAATGACAGGATCTCCTTTCTAAAGGCTGAATAAAATTTCATTGTATAAATATACACCACAATTTCTTTAGCCATTCCTCTGTCAGTGGATACTTGCGTAATACTCATTTCTTTGCTATTCTGAATAATCCTGCAATAAATATGAAAGTGTGGACATCTTTCCAAGGCAGTAATTTCTTTTATCAAAACATCACAGGGTACACCTTAAAGGTAGTCAATAATAAAACAAAAGAAGCCCTGTGAAAGGATGGTGTACAACCCTGCATAGGGATGGAAATAATTTCACTGCAGCTGAAGTAGAGAGTGGCAGGGGAAAGTGCTGGAGCAAGAGTCTAGAGAGTTAGGTTAGTCGGAAATTAGTCATACTTAGATTTGAAGGCCATTTTAAGTATGAGGACCTTTATCCTAAGATCATTAGGAAGCCATTTAAAGATTTTAAATTCTAGGTTGAGTGACAGGCTCTGGTTCCAGGGAAATTGGAAATTGGAAAGGAATTAAATCTGGCCTTCTTACAATGTCTTCTTTTCTTTGCAGCCAGTTAAAGACTTATTTGCAATCATTCACATAAAGGTGATGGTATCCCTGGCAAGCAAGGGTGGTTGTGTTGTATGCAGAGAAAATATATGGGTGTGATGCATAGTTGAGTTATAGAGGACAAAAGTCTAAGGATATATTGCATTTTCAGTTTAGAAAGATAGATAATCATATTTCTAACATGAAAAATTAGATGCATGTTGGTGCTATTTGTTGTTATAGGAAATACCATAGAAAAACTGGTTTTTAAAGAGATAAAGGAGGGAAGGTGAAGGCAGGGGGAGAGGGAAAGTGTGTAATAAGAAGAGAGTGTAAGAGAGAGAAATGTGTATGGATCTTGAAAATGACACATTTAAGATATCTTTGAGAATTTATCTGAAGAAATTTCAAGCCAGAAAAAAATTAAAAGAGATGCATTTTCATTAAGACTTTTAGAATTTTTACATCTGGCAATTCATAAATCAGACAACAATGCAATCCTTTTAAACAAAATTATTGAAACGGAGAACGCCATTTCTCTGTCCCTCATTTTTTTTTTTGTCTTCGTGGTTGTCATTACAGTGACCAATGCAAGAAACAATATTTCAAAGATGATTGTTCAATCCAATAGTGGCAGATCAATTTCAAAAGTGTGCCTTTTCTTAGAGATAATAATTATTAGCTATGATCACACTGATAGAGATGAGGAGAAGACACAGAATAGGAGTAGGAGTGGATAAAGAAATGTTCCATTTGCTTGGCTTCCCAGTGCTCCCGATGTAGGACTAGCAGCACGGCATGGTCCCTTGCTGGCTTATTTGTTTAATAAGCATACTGAAAGGGATCATCTCAAACCTTACCTGGAATATAAAGTTTGTAGGAAATGGACTCATTATACCAATTATGAGAAAACTGGGAGACTTTGCTTAACATGAGGATTTTCAGTCCCTACCTTATGGCAAAACTATTTGGAAAATGTTTCTAATCCCCAGTCCCATAACTTTGTGATTGCAAGAGAGATGCTTTTATCCCATTATTAAGTAAAGGGGTGTTAGTGCTGTAAGAAACTTTACTGTTATGTTGAGCATAATGAGCCTTAGTTTATCCAAGGGTCTCAGTGGATTTGAGTTCAAACTAGATTAGGCAATATTCTCCAGATTTTATTTTTCCTTTTGGGTTTTTAGTTCATTGAATGTTTAATTTTCTCTTGTTGTGGTTACAAAGGGACTAAAACTTTTTGGTTTTCTGAGTTTGGGTTCCCCAGAAACAGACACTGAGACAAGAATTTGATTGTAAATGTAACTTGGAGATGGGACCAACAAATGCCAGTGTAAAAAGGAGAGAAAGAAAAAAAAAATAGCCAAAAAAGAGGTACTATTGAGTCAGCTACCACTGTGTGTTACCAGGAACTTTATCCCATTGGAGAAAGTCTGAACCATTGTACAGAAGGAAAAGAAAGGAAAAAACTGAAAGTTATCCTACCACAAAAAGGAGAGACCTAGAATTTTACATACTAACTCCTGTGAGTCTTTGAGGGCTGCTTCTGTAGAAAGCATTAATTTTCTGGCATTTCTGCCCTGACATTCAGTGGGCAAAATGGGTTGTGAAGGCCAGAAATAACCCTCAGGCAAAAAAATGCGGGAGTGGCAGTTAGATGTAAGACAGGTGTGCACTAGAGTAGTAATGGCCAGGGGTTATGGTTGGGGCACCAACAACTTCCTCTATACCAATGAAAATGAGTGACAGCAGTAAAACAACTAAAGTGACTTGAATCAAAATCTACTAATGCCACTAATTAGACGCACTTTATTGCCCCCATAGGAGAGTGAATATACACTGTAATTGTATTTTGCCTAGAAGTGTTGAAGACAGGATTTTTGTCTTCAGAGCAATGAGGACTTTAGCAACAAGAGGTGTGTTTCATGTGTCTGAGCAGTTTGCTGTGGGGCGCAGCAGAAGTTCAGTAATTGAATTTTATCAAAAATGGTCTAAAAGTCTGTATATACAAAGGTAAATTCAAAAGCGACTTCCAGTGTGTTATGCATTGTATCTTTCTGTGTTGAAATTAGCTTAATATTTTATGTTGGCAACAACGAAGATCCCCATGGGCAGTAATTGTGATTATATAGCAGACAGGAAAAAGTATACACATAGATTCACTAATAATCTTGATATAACTGCTCCAAATATATACTTGGTAAACATATGGTTGAATAAGTTTCATATCTCAGAAGAGCCTTGAAAAGGGATCATGCCTTCTTCTGGGAACTGTTTGTCTCTGGTTCAGTTAAAAGACTGAACAATTCCACAAGGGAAATGGGTATTTCTGTCTTTTCCATCACTTTTTTGGTAGCATCTATAAAAATACCTAGAACAAAGGAGGTGCCCAACAGATATTTGCCAAATGAATGAATGAATGGTTGAAATTTGTGCAACACTCATTGCTTCTCCTTTTTTTAAAGGCCTGTATCACTTCTCAGTACCAGAAGACGTGGTTCTTGGCACTGCAATAGGAAGGGTGAAGGCCAATGACCAGGATATTGGTGAAAATGCACAATCATCATATGACATCATTGATGGAGATGGAACAGCACTTTTTGAAATCACTTCTGATGCCCAGGCTCAGGATGGCATTATAAGACTAAGAAAAGTAAGCTAAGGAAACTTTTATTCTTCTTCAAAATACCTCTTTGAAACTTGAGTTTTAAATTTGAGGGACTTGTGTGGACTTACTGACAGAACGGTAGAGCTGGTAGATGTTTAGCTTTGAGTAGTAAGACAAAGTAACCAAAGTCCTTTTGTCACCTCTTATCTCTTGAGCCCACTTCAGATTTCAGCTAAAGATCTGATAATTAGCTACCGTAATAATGCTGGTCCCCCAACTTACCCATTACCCATAACCACAGGAATTTACTTAGTCCTTGTACAGGGCCCTTCAGCCATGTGGGGAAGTCAATACCCTCTGAAGGCAGCCCTCCACCAAACGGGGAGAAAAATTGGTGGACAGTTACTATTGTTTGGAGAAACTACTCTGAGGCACATTGTTTAAGGTTGTAAACAATGAGAACAGTGAGAACAGGCCTCAGTTGCCCACAGAGGTGACAAGTTCAGTGGCTTTTAGTCTTTCTGTATATATCTCTCTTCACGTTTGAACTCTTGCTTCCTGAAGTATCTCCCCCAAATACAGTGAAGCTTCCCAAGTCCTTAGGAAGGCTGTGCTTTCATGGGAACTAAAATAAATAAATAAATAAATAAATAAATAAATAAATATACAGGCTGAACATTCAGGTTCAGTTATCCTGGCTTGCCCTAGTGCCTGAAGGACAGGGCCAACCCTGCTACCAGTGCATACTCAAAACTATAACTGAGAGGTTTGAGCATTATGGGAAATGAAGCTCATCTTTCCCTTACTTCTGGGGAGGGAGCTACCATTGAAGAAAGAAACATCTTCATAACAAGCACATATAATATAGGAAAATTTGAGACTTCTTTTGTTAGCTGTCTCTTGTTTCTATGGTAGATGTAAAAAATTCTGTACAATATTTTCCATTTATATTTCTCATAATAAAATCTACACTCACAAGAAATGCGTATGGCATAGTTCATTACATTATAGTAACAAAACATTTGCAAGGAAAATACTTTTTGATCCTTGTCCTGATTATTTTCTTCAACATTGTTCTTCAAATCTTTGTCATGAAGTAAGTCAAACTAGTTTTTAAATAGATTTGCTTGTCCTCAAATAAGATAGATGGTAGACCACACTATTGGGATTCAATAATTTTTTTTCACTTTCTTCATTAGCATTACACACATATGACTGTAAGGTTACTATCTGAATCTCCATTAAGTTACATGGAGATCTATTTCCAGTGGTCTTGCCCTTAAAATGCCCCACTGAAGAAATCTTAACAATGAAGACCTAAAGTTTTCTGAATATTCTTTTGAATAAATAATAATTTTAAAAATTAAATTTGAAAAATATGTCTACATTTATTTTAACTTTCTGTTGAGCAACACTATCTTTCTACCAGAAAGTTTAGCATTAAAAACTGTAAAACATTTAAAAAGTCATGTTTGAAATAAAGTATGGTATAATACTTGAGTCAATTATTAAGTAACCCAGAGTCACATTTTCCTTGGCTAACAATTTCTAACGTCACTTTTATTGTTATTATTCCCATCTTTTTCTGCCTTAAGGTGCTCTTATAAACCAAAACAATTAGCCATTGGCTGTATTTTTATTCGCTGTTATTTATAAACTTGGAAGCATATACTATACACCTTGACACCAAGTAAAATATGTATTTTACCCTAGAGAACAGTGCATAGGAGTGGTATTCCTACAATCTGTAGGCCGTCTTTTTTGTCCCATAAAATTCTTAGGACACCAGAATCTGTCTGGGTTCATTGTCGTTATGTTGAGTGGGAACAAGCAGAACATGATCTGTTATACTTAACAATGTTTGCGAAGAGTTTAAAATTGCAAAATGGTTATAGTAAAGCTGATTGACAAATTGTGAATATGCTGATGTTGCATGATCTATTCATGGATGCATGTGCCTAGTAATTTTAGAATAGATAGGAAAGTGAGTGCTTGCCTGGTTTACTAGACAATATGGCAAAAAAAAAAAAAAAAAAAAAAAAAAAAAAAAAAAAAAAAAAGAGCCAAGTCCCATTAGATCAAAATTCAAATGTAAAATCCAACACAATATTTTGAAATAAGAATATATAATTAAGCTTGCCCTGGAATTCTGAAAGATTTCACCAGTGCCAGTTTGTCTTCTAGCTTATTTTTAAAAATCTTTATTGCACATTTAAAGTTCTATTTCTCATGAGAAATTTGTACTGTGGATGTTTACTGTCTCTTTGAGCCTTGACAGACCTGCATTCTTGAAATTTGAAGTATTATGAGCCACCATGAATTGGTCTACAAAGGTGCTAGTGCACGTGGGCTTCTGGCTTATTGAAGGGGACTGTCTTCTTTTCATGTAGCTTTACTTACCTAGGTCAAGGACCAAAGTCTCTCAGAGTTTTACAGAATGAAGTAATAATATGTCAGAAATATTGTCAGTAATGGAGTAATGAGGTAATTTCAAATTGCTTTTAAGTGGTTGGTGGGGGCACAGTTAGACTCAGTTATCTATTTATACTACTCACATCATTTCTTCTTCTAAATATAAACACAAGAACATACATAGATATCGGTGTACATATTTCTTTATTTGCCCACCAGCTTCATAGCATAAACTCATAATAGAAAACCTAAGAATGTCCTAAAAAATAATAAACCTCATTTTAGCCACATGGTCAGTAGAGTAGCAATGCTTTAAAGTGAAATCAGAAAATACTCTTTGTGGGGATTAGTGCTAAATTATGCTTTATAATGTCTCCTTGGACTAAACAATGATTATTTCTAGTTCTTTACATTTCACACTCTGTTGCAGAGATGATAAAATATTCTTCCCAGATAGAGATTGTGTTCGACGTTGCCTTATCTCCCACCAGCAGAGGCCCGATTAAATGACTGATTAGTATGCAGGTCATGCTGTCACTAGTAAAATTTTATTATGACTCTGAAGTGAAATTTTGATGGCACAATTCATGACTATGAATATTTTGTGAATTCCAAGTGAAATGAGCAAAACAAAACAATAGGAGATTAGATTCACTGAGCTTGTATAATAAACAGATATCAATAAATGCCCGTAAAATTTACAGGCTGAATCTGGGGGACTGGAGAGTGATCCTATTAAGGCTCACAAATGGGTTTAAATGCACACAACTTTCATCCATCAGCATTATACTCATTTGTTCTTGCTGCTGTGGTCATTAGTGAGAAGCATTTATCTTTGTCATTTCTTAACAGCCTCTGGACTTTGAGACCAAAAAATCCTATACGCTAAAGGTAGAGGCAGCCAATGTACATATTGACCCACGTTTCAGTGGCAGGGGGCCCTTTAAAGACACGGCGACAGTCAAAATCGTCGTTGAAGATGCTGATGAGCCTCCGGTCTTCTCTTCACCGACTTACCTCCTTGAAGTTCATGAAAATGCTGCTCTAAACTCCGTGATTGGGCAAGTGACCGCTCGAGACCCTGATATCACTTCCAGTCCTATAAGGTATTTTTCTTTTAAAAGGAATACTGGCTACTGGAAATGACAAGCAGATCAGTACAAAATGCACTGTGTGCACCTTCTGTGTGGCTGTCCTTGGGACAATGCTCACATGACCAAATAATGTTGGTTAGCACATACTGTGTGTGTGTGTGTGTCATGTGTGTATACATGTGCATGTGTGCCTACTAAGTGCTACATAGAGCCCAGAGCCAGGAGCATGAAAATGAATACAGCTATTCCAGCTCTCAGAGAGCTCTATGAAAATGCAAAGTTGCAAATGTTTGCAACACACTTGGGTGGATCTTGTTATTTTTATGTTTTTGTTTGTGCTTTTTTTGTTTGTTTGTTTAGCTTTGGGCAAGCATTGCTAGTTTCTCTTCTGTCTCTTTTGACAGTTATGGTGAATTACATATTAGAATTTAGAGGCATGAGACCATTGTGTCAATGCATTAAGAGGCTCCTATCTTATTTCTGCATTTGGTATTTGGCTTTGAAATTATCTTTTTATCATTTCTTGGACGTTTCTGATCGGTCAGCATATCTGGCTTGGTGTCTCCCAGATAAAAATCATTCTCTGCCATTTCAAAAATACCTTTTGTTTTTTCTTTTTCTGCTCAAAAATTTTTCCCAGGATGCAAAATAATTCTTTATTAAAGCGTTTCTGCCTTTTTTAGAAATGAAGCTCGGTTTGATTATTTTTTCTGTTGTATCTTACACATCTTTTTTCTTTTTCCAGTCACCCAAATGACAGGACAGGTGCTCCAGCTAAATAGCTTTCTTCCTAAAGCCCACTGAAAATCTATAACTTCTATGCTGGTCTCCAAGGGTGAAGTGTTGGCTAATGATGTGTTTGAGTGTGGATTTCAAATATTGTCTTAGAAATATCTGTTGCAAAATAAAGGAGCTAGAGAGCGAAAATTAGACGGAGGAATACAATTTTAAAGAACTGTCCAGCTAATTTCTGAGTTAGATGTCAGCTCATACCAAACCCTTTCAATTTGCAAGTCACAGATAATTAGGGCAGACATGTTTCCAATTACTTCATTTGGGGAAACCCTGGTAAAGTGAATTCTCTGTAGGTTTATTTAGTCAATTTTAAAAAAAAAAGTATTAAATTCCTGCTACTCATAAGGGTGTTGAAACTATGAGACTGAGATTAAAACTCTGCAGAACAGTCAACACCCCAAATTATTTGAGCTTGTACAAAAATTATTTACCCAGAACAACACTTTCTGTTTTTAAACACAAATTATTTCTAAATTCAGAATAACAAATAGGACTGCAGCTTATAAGGATACAAAGGAGGCTTCCTGCAGAAGCGTGTAACCTCTACGAAGATGAAAGTTTACCTAGGGATTTGATAAATGGTCCATTGGCCATTATCAGTTCTAAAGAAATTTCACAAACTATAGACATACACAAAGCCCCTTATTTAGCTAAGAAAATTATGTCTATTAATGGGCCTTGTGTTGAATGCAAGGGGAGGAATATCCAAAAGAAAATAAATTTATGTTGGTATTCATTTCCTGAAAATATAGTGAGATTATGCAATGGCTTTATGCTGGAATACTGACATTAATGGGGACAATGATATTTGTCGAGTGGATGAATCTGACCTGTTTTTATGTTTCTCAATTTCCTCCAAAGGAGCTCAAAAAGGAGCAGTTGCCACTTTCTTTACATCTCCAAGCAGGAGACAGAATGTGAAGGGAGTAAATAAGATTGGTTAACTGAGAGACCAATCAGAGGACTGGTTTTAGCACTTTATTTGACAGGAGTTCTATTCTTGTCAGCTAAGAGCATCTAAGGGCTCAGGAGTCTGCCAAGCCAAGGGTCCAGGGGGAAAATAAGGGTTCAAATATCAGCACAATCATATAAACTCCCAACATGGAATCCTTATTACCAGTGGGAATGGACTGACTGTGCAGAGACATGATCTTAATCATCTAATGATGACGTTTCAGGAACTTTTCACACCGTAATAAAAGTTGCATCTTATTGACAGAGCTAGCTATAAATCCAGGTTCATTGTGGTCCACATATGTTTGCACAGTTTATAATCTATTTTACTGATGTAGAAATGGAGATTTACTGATACTAATTCCGGTTCACAGAGAATCAAGTGAAGATTCTCATTGTAGTTGCTAGTTATTATTATTGCTATTGATATTTTTATTACTGTTACTGGTAGGCAAGTTTGTGTAGAGGCAGCCTGAGGCTGTTTAGAAATAACTGTCCAGCTTAGAAGCATTTCATTTTCAGGCAAGCTAAAGGGGATTTGAGATTGTGTTACCAGAAAGAGATGGACAGATAAAGTACTATTTGATGACACAGGCATATCTGTGCTTCTGATAGATGTCAGGCAAGTGCTAGCTCCTTAGCCTCTATGGTTCTAACCAAAGAAGGGATGAATACTGTTTCAAAGCATTCACAGCAGCCTTTGATGTGTCATTCAGAAAGTGGGCCCCACACAGTTCTGATCGGACGTGGCCTGGCTCCATGGGATGAGAACTTAAGAATCACAAACCTTATTTTTTAACATCTGTTCTGCATTTCTACAGTCCCCTGTCCCCACTTCCTCCCCAGTTGGATCATGGAGAGCAAGTTCCCTCTCTTCATGCACAATTGGTTCATTTGAGAAGAAAATTAAATTTCCTGACTAGCCAGAGCAATGCATAGTTCCTTATGAGTCTAGCAGAGAGATTTAGAGCCATTTAACCTTTTTAGATAGAACCAGAGGACATGGATATTCAGGGAATTACTGAGTAATGCATAGCTATGCATTATTTTCTCTTTAGGACTGCTGTGTTTTATACATTGACAAGAATGTATCCATCTTTTAGGATAATGTTTAATTTGATATCCAGCAAAAAGGCATTTATCCCAGCATTTGCCACGCTAAAACACACAGTCATTTGTTGGTTGGTCAGCTTCTCATGAGGTTCAGTTTCTTTTTGGAGCATATTATCAGCTAGAAATATCATATATTTTTGAATTCTTATACCTAATAGTATATCTCTATCTGTATGTATATGTCTATATATTCCTTTCTGGGAGAAAATGAACAGTGACATAGAGAAAAATCTGTCATCTTACCCTTTTAGTTGCAGGAACATTAATTAGTTCTTTGCTACTTTCTGCAATACTATGTATTTCAGTAATGTAGAAATAAGGTGTGCGAATTATTTAAAAAATGACAGGGATTGAACTTAGGGAGAGTAAGGTTGAAATATCACTACTACTTCCCAGTCAGAGAACTAGTCTCTGGAATTCTCCGAGATTCAGTTTTCTCCTCCATATGGGATAGTAGATCATCTTTCTCACAATGTTAATAAGATGATTAAGTGACATTATTAAGTAAAATATGTGGTAGCTAGTCGTGTTACCAGTTAATAAATGGTAAGCCACCATCAGTTTCACAACTTAAAATTAAATTAAAAACCTAAAACTTATTTTGGCAGAGATTCATCCAGGTGGCTGACTGTGTGCAGAATTATGTGTTTTTTCCCTGACAGTTATATGCCAAATAATCTAATCAGTTTCATTTGGTCTAATTTTCTCCCACTACTGCTATGGATATTGTTACTAGTGAGTGCCTAGCATATATCAGGAACTGTGCTAAACATAATCATTTTATTCTCTAATGCATCTGGTATATATATGTGGAGTCATTCTGTTGCAGAATTTTGCTCCTTAGTTCAGCTAAAGCTGGGTTCTTGGCACACAAAACCAGGAAAATTTAGGCACACAGACACATTGAAGGATGAATAGGGCAGGATTTACTGGGCAAAAAGGGAAAAAAAGAAAGGAAAAAACAGCAAAGCGAGATGGAGGCCTGCTAAAAGCCTCCTCACCTCGCAGATTGAATCCCAGGCCAACACACAGGAACTGGAGGCCAGGCTCCTCCCCCTGCCCGTGGCTCCACTCCATTCCCCCAGTGTGCATGCAGGCATGCTCCGACAAAGTCCCCTCATCTGCACAAAAGCATCTGATATAAACACTTGTAGGTCAGGTCGGAGATTCTCCAGGGACATTTTATTTGCTTAGGCATTTGGCTGTCTCATTTATACCCATTTAACAGATGTGAAGCCTGAAGGTAAAATAACTAACTTGCCCAGTATCACACAAATAGAAGTGGAACTGGAGGGTGCACTCGGGTTTTAGGATGGTGCCATGCCTATCCACTGTCCTTTCTTTTCCCTGTGATCTCTGTAACTCCAACTGTGCCTATGCACTTTAGGATGACGGAGTAGGACCAATTATGGAAGTAATTGACTATTCATTCTCTAAATGACCTCGTTGACTATCAGGAAAGGAGAAAAATAAACCAAATCTGTGGAATTAACCAGAGTATAAGGGCTGTGATCTTTGCTCATCTGCCTAGCCACCTGATATGGGTTTGTTACTATTGGCTGTGAATCAGATTGTGATGGGCAAGGTAAAGGGGAAAATAATTTTGTTTTTATTTGAAGAATGAGACCATGCTAAGCTCCTATTATATATCATCCAACTTAATTCTTACAAATGACTCCAAGAAATACTCAGTATTATTTCCATTTTATAAACAAGGGAACTTAAAAAAGGATAAGCTTCCTGTACTTGGGGATATAGCACGTAAATGCAGGACCAGAGGTTAAATCCAAGTTTCTGCTTATCATTGGCCACTATACCTATGCATGCTCTTGTAGATTATGGAATCTTGGAAGTTGAATACGATGATGACAGTTGATGTTTTCTGAGCCCATTCTTCGTGACAGACACTTGGAAATGTTGTTATATGCAGCAAATTATTTATATTTAAAGTAAGCATTCCTAGCCCAGGTATTTAAAATAAGTCAGTTCTTTCATGTAAATCTGCCATGGTCCATTTTTTTTCCTCTCATAAAGTCATTTTGATTGTGTATTGGGTGTCACCATGGCTTTGAGATGGTATGTGATTGTTTCTAAGGAAATCACTTCTTCTTGTTTCCCAAGCATTAACCTTGAATAAAGCTTCATGAGCT